TTATACATGGTGCATGTTAGTGTGGAATTCCCTTTTTAGTCTCTATGTTTCTCTCATTTGTCCTTTAAACTCATCTAAAGCATCACTTCCTCTGAGAAACCTTCCTAGATCACTGTGAACTTAGAAATTCTGGAACTTTGAATCCATAGCTATGGATATATTTGGTCTTTAATTGTTTAAGCCCATCATTATGTATCAAATCACTCTGGGCAGGTGACTCTGTCTTATGCTGCGCAGTAACCCAGGTATCTTCTTCAGCAGGTACTTTGATGCAGGTAAATAACATTTTTTAGTTCATGAATAAATAAAAGATAAGGTTATAATACTCTAATTTCATTGTTTTCTAGGTAAACTGCTTTTAGCACCTGACACCGTGAAGAATAAGAGATGGAACCAAGGAGCAACGTGATTCACTTTGTGCTCTTGGGCCTCACACAGAATCCAATGGAGCGGAAAGTACTTTTTGTTGTGTTCTTGGTCTTCTACATTTTGACCATGGTGGGAAATCTGCTGATTGTCATGACTGTAACTATCAGTAAGACCTTGGACTCGCCAATGTACTTTTTTCTCGCTAACTTATCATTTATGGATGTTGTTTATTCATCAGTCATTTCCCCTAAGTTGATTTCAGACTTATTCTTTGGGGGAACTATCATATCCTTCAAGTTTTGTATGATTCAGCTCTTCACAGAACACCTCTTTGGTGGATCGGAGGTCTTTCTCCTGCTGGCGATGGCCTATGACCGCTATGTGGCCATCTGTAAGCCTTTGCATTATTTGCTTATCATGAGGCGGAGGGTGTGTGTTGTGTTGCTGGTAGTGTCCTGGGTTGGAGGTTTTATACACTCAGTAATTCAACTCAGCACTGTCTGTGGGCTCCCGTTCTGTGGCCCCAATGTCATTGATCATTTTATATGTGACATGTACCCCTTACTGAAACTTGTGTGCACTGACACCTATGTCATTGGCCTCTTAGTGGCAGCCAATGGAGGACTGACCTGCTCGACGCTGTTTGTGCTCTTGCTTATCTCGTATGCTGTCCTCTGGCGCTCTCTGAAGAGCCTTAGTCAGGAAGGGAGGCAGAGAGCTCTCTCAACCTGTGGCTCTCACATCACTGTAGTCATCTTCTTCTTTGTTCCCTGTATTTTCATGTATGCAAGACCAGCCAGGACTTTCTCCATAGACAAATCACTGAGTGTGTTTTACACAGTCATAACCCCCATGCTGAACTCCCTAATCTACACTCTGAGGAACTCAGAGATGACAAACGCTATGAAAAAACTCTGGAGAAGAAAGGTCAGATCAGATAAGTGATCTTCTCTACAAAGGGCTTTATCTGACTGCAATGCTCCATCCTTAGGATCCACAGCCTGCGGAAATCTCAGGCTCGCTTCTCTTCCTTCCAAAGCTTTTCTGACGAATATGAGTGAAGAGTGTGTTGTATGCTGGTGGCATGGCAAGGTTTCATCAGTGTGTCTAGTAAGTTGTGAAGCACATACAGTAGGGAGTCAATAATTATATTAATAAATTTGTGAATGAAATTTTATAGCATTTCATTGACTTTTATTAATTTCTGTATTTATTTTTTCATGTACCTTAGATTTATGTTGTTGTCATTATGGTAGTAAAGTATTTAAATCTTTGGAGACTCCTCTCTATTTAATTTTACCTGCATTATATACACTATTTTTAGTGCACTGGGTTTCCTTTGGAAAGCATAATCCAAAGTGACATTAAAGATGGAATCCAAACAAATGATAAAAATTCAGAATAAGTCTGCCTGGCTCTTCCCGGAGGATCCCAGTGCTGCTGTCAGACACAAGTGCTCTACTGTGTTTCTAAGATTCTTCAAGTCAGAAATAGTATAATTTGTAAGAAGGATGGATTTGAAGGGCATTATAGACCCTAGATAAGATGATACAGAAGCAAATACTGCAATGTAGAGTTAATAATAATCTATTGTGTACTTGAATTTTGAAGAGGGAAGATCTTAAAGGTTCTCAACACAAAAAGTGAGTGAAAAAAATTTTAATAATGTAAAAGTTTTGGATGTGTTATTTAGCTTAATTTTGGTGATCACTTCTCCCCTTCTCCATATATATTTTGAGACAGGATCTCTCACTAAGTTGCTAAGTTGCCCATTCTAGGCTTGAGTTGCAATCCTCCTGCCTCAGCATCCTAGGGTTCACAGAATATATGCGTGTGTTACCACACTTGGGTTGCATTGATTTTCAGAAGTTAAAATAGTCTATAATTTTTGTATGTGCAACATTTTTTGGGCATTTTATCTACTGTGACTGAACTTAGCACCTTTAAAGGAATGCACCACCTCAGCATTTCTTATGCTCCTGTTACACCTAATGTTTGCTTTTGCAATAATTCTCAGCACTTTTCATGAGCTAATGTGCTGTGCATTTTAAAAAAGTTCTGTTTATTATATGTTTTCTCTTTAGAACATAAGCTCGTTGCTAGGTCCTCAGGCATGCTGGGCACATTAAATCATTTTTTTAATGAATGCGCTATTAAAAGAACTAATTTTACTGTTCAAAATAATGTACCTTCTGACACATTTAAGTGGCTTTGGGTTGACATTTTCTTTGAAGGTTTGTGAGGAGCAATCATGGTCAGCATTTATAAAGTGCGTATCGTCAGGGATAGTTCTGGACACCTTACGTGTTTTCTCATTTATTCCTCTGAGTGGCAGCTGGAACGAGGTGCTGTTATTGGACCTGACTTACATTTGTGCAGAGACCCGTGCAGATTAGCACCCTAGACAAGGTCCTCACCTGCAGAAATGAGTAATGCCAGACACCACATTGCAGAGATCCGACCTGAGCTTGTGTATGGTGAGGGCTGCTATCAGGTGACCACGACAAACACTTTATATGAGTATGAACTGAGCAAGTAGCACCCATTGATTCTTTCACTATTTGCTTCTTGTTTGTAGCTCTATCTTATTGTACATTTTTTTGTTGAAACACATTGAAAATTTGACATAAACTCAAGAACAAGTTGTAAGAATTCCTGGATACTCTTCACTCAGCTTTTCCAAATACTTATTTTTTTTTCACTTCTGCTGCTGTCTTCTCTCTTTCTGTGTGCTTTCCCATTAAATATATCATTACAGACATATGCAAGTATCATTATTTCCCTACCTCCATTTCTCTCTCATACATATTACAGACTTGTTTGTATTATCCTGAAAGGTTTAAGAGTATGTTGTAAACCTATTCTTTAAGCCTGATACTTCCCTAACTCTAATCCTAAAGCTTCCAACCAGTTCCACAAACCAAGAAATTTTATTGCATAACCCTAGCACAGTGGTCGAAATCAAGAAATGAATGCTGAACTAATGCTGTTACATCTTCTACACAGCTTACTGGAATTTTTCAAATGTCCTAAAATGTCATGGTTCTTTCAAAAGAAAATCCAAGAAAACCCATTGCATTTTGTTGTCATGTGTATGGCCCTGATTCTTGTAATGTAAAACTATTCCTGAGTCTGTCCTTATATTTTCTGACATTGTCATCTGGGCAGAGTACATGCTACTTATTTTGTAGAGTGTACTGTGAATTCCTATTTGGGTTTGCCTGCTGTTGCTTTATGTTTAGAACCATTTTATGCCTTTGGCAGGAACATCTTCAAACAGATCCTGAATTCCTCAGGAGATCATATTAGGAGGGACTTGCTGTTATTTGTAATATTACATTTAATTATTTGGTGATGATAGTGTTCCCATTCTCTTCATTGTGTCCCTCAGAGTTATTTCTTACTATCAGGAACACTTTGTTGTTTTTTTTTTGTCTTTTTGAGACAGGGTCTCACCATGTGAGGCCACCTCAGGCTGGCCTTCAGCTCACTTTATAGCCCAGGCTGGTCTCGAACTCACAACGATCCTCCTGCTTCAGCCTCCAGAGTGCTTGGATTACAAGCGTGCGCCACCATGCCCAGTACCATCAGGAACACTTTGGAGGGGTACTTTTTTGAGATCTGTGGCCACTGGGAACTTTACCTTCCTTTCAGCTCTTCATGAGTCCTAGAGCCCATGTGAAAGCTTCTCAACTGTTTTAGGGCAACTCTTCCATAGTATTTTGTAGTTATGACACTGAGCAAGGGTTCATTGCCTGGTGCACATGGGAGCCAACGATATTTCACTGAAACTTTGCTTTAAAAAAAGCTTTTTATTGGGGTTGGATGATCAAGGAGACATGATGAAAGCTCAAATCTCCCCAGTTGGCTGGTAGTAACAAAATTTATAGAAAGAGAGAAGAGAAATTGCTTAGTGCTTGGATGGCGAGAAGGTAAAGAGTTAAGAGTTCTTTTGTGTAGCTCTCAACAATCATCATGCCTCTTCATGGGTCCACTTTTCCTTTCTAGCGGGTGTTGTCTTGTTCCATGTGGAGGATTTTTGAGTTTGTGATGGAAAAAGTCATCATTTAGGGTGGAGCATCTTTTGTGCATGCCTGTCCTTGAAAAGCCAGTTTCAAACTGACCTTCTGTGGATTCTGGAGGCAGTTTCTGAAAATCCATTTTGGAGCTTTCTTATTGAAGGAATTTATTTGCAGGTGTGTCCAAGCCTTAGCCACTGTCAGTTTCTTCTGGGCTTGTTAACAATTGTTTTTGCTTTTGGATGTTTTCTGAGGGATCAATAATAGAACAATAAATTCTAAGTGTATTCTACAAGTCTGAACAATACATTTTTTAAGGGATTGGAGGCTACTCACATTTGCATAATCCAGGTTTTATCTCTCCTTCTACTTCCCATGGATATTTGCCCCCAAAGCTTCAAATGCTCTCCTCTAACAGGACGTAACAGGAAATGCAGATTTTTTGTAGTGCAGATGTTGTGAATGCTGAAGTAGCGGACAGTGGACCTGGCCAGGCTGGGAGAGACTGGAAGCTTGAAGACATTTGGGATGACATCCTATTTCCTCAGCTCACACAGAGCAAACTTGTGCCTTTCCTTCATCTCTATGTGTCATCAGGATGGTAGGAGGCATCTGTGAACATAGGGATTCTAGTCGTGCCTTGTGTTTTTCAGTTTCGACCTAAAGACTCACATAAACACTAGGAATATGCTGCTTTTGCAATGACCGTGGGGCAGAAAAGGTAAGGTTTAGGGATTTGCTATTAAGCATGATACTGATTTTGAGTTTATGATTTGCAGTTTTACCTTATGTCTAGAAAAATTATCTATTCTCCTAATAAAACAATGGACTGTTCGAAAAGTGACATAAGACTTACTATAATTATGCATATAAAGATCCAAATGTTCAGTCATCATTAAATTTGGAATGCTAATTCTAGCTAAGGTGAACAAATGCAGACATATTTGTCTTCTTGCCAAAAATCTCCAAAGAAACAAGACAGAAAATATTATTAGAGATAAAGGAAAAAGACAGATTCCAAAATTACAATAGGGAAGGACTTCAATATCCCACTTTTACCAATGACTAGAAAACCAAACAAAGAAATATTAAAGGAAAATTACACTACGCACCAAAGGAACCTAACAGACAATGGAACATTCCATGCAATTGCTGCAGAATACGTTTGGAACAAAGAACTAATGATGTCACTGTGATGTAAATCAATCTATAAAACGTCTCTCACAGTATCCTAGAGTGAAGCTGCTGCTGAGTAATTTATCCAAGCTTTTGCCACCTCTGCCACAAAACCTATGATTGGTCTGTGTCTCTCATGGATTTTGGTCTGGCTATGGTGGTGACCTGTATGCTCCTCCCATGAGAATTTGCCCCATGGGACTTTTGACTTGTACTCCTCTTCTGTAGGACCAGATAAACCTATTCAACTCTGTCCTTCTGTGGGATTTTGACCAGGTGGTGCTGTTGACCAGTACCGTTCCCTGTGAGATTTTGCCAGAAAGTGGTGTTGGACCCATCCTCATTTCCTGTAAATCTTCCCTGCTAGAGTTGTAATTAGCCCTTTGTTTCCCTATTAGTGCCAGTTAACTCTAACATACCTTATCTTTCACAAAGACTATTTCTAGGTAGTTTCTTTGATCCCTTGGTTGGAACTCCAGCATACCACCCAGAGGACCTGGGCTCTAGGAAGTACAGCTGGATACTGTTCATCCATAGAAGAAAATGAAGCTCTACCATTTACACTAACATGAATGAGCATGTTAAATGAAACAAGTCAGGCACAGATAGACAACTACTGCAACTTTTCATTTATTTGTGAATTATAAAACATTAAACTCATAAAATTAGACAGTAGAATATTGGCTACCAGGAATTATCTAACCAATGAGGATGTGGGGGAATGGCCAAAGGATATAAAACTTCAGTTAGGAGGAATAAATTCAAGAACTGTATTGCACATCATTGTGAGTATAGTTAATAGCAATGCATAATTTTCTTGAAAATAATTATTTTCCTGAAAAGGACAGAGTAGATTATTAATGTCCTCACCACAAAAGAAAATG